TACTTTAAATTTACTATCTGATGTTCTGTTCTTCACTATCTTTACATGAAAGAAGTAACATCCAACATTACTTTAAATTTACTATCTGATGTTCGGTTCTTCACTATCTTTACATGAAAGAAGTAACATCCAACATTACTTTAAATTTACTATCTGATGTTCGGTTCTTCACTATCTTTACATGAAAGAAGTAACATCCAACATTACTTTAAATTTACTATCTGATGTTCGGTTCTTCACTATCTTTACATGAAAGAAGTAACATCCAACATTACTTTAAATTTACTATCTGATGTTCGGTTTCGTCACTATCTTTACATGAAAGAAGTAACATTCCAAATTACTTTAAATTACTATCTGATTTCGGTTCTTCACTATCTTTACTATGAAAAGAAGTAACATCCAAACATTACTTTAAAATGTACTATCGATGTTCTGTTCTTCACTATCTTTACATGAAAGAAGTAACATCCAACATTACTTTAAATTTACTATCTGATGTTCTGTTCTTCACTATCTTTACATGAAAGAAGTAACATCCAACATTACTTTAAATTTACTATCTGATGTTCTGTTCTTCACTATCTTTACATGAAAGAAGTAACATCCAACATTACTGTAAATTTACTATCTGATGTTCTGTTCTTCACTATCTTTACATGAAAGAAGTAACATCCAACATTACTGTAAATTTACTATCTGATGTTCTGTTCTTCACTATCTTTACATGAAAGAAGTAACATCCAACACTACTGTAAATTTACTATCTGATGTTCTGTTCTTCACTATCTTTACATGAAAGAAGTAACATCCAACACTACTGTAAATTTACTATCTGATGTTCTGTTCTTCACTATCTTTACATGAAAGAAGTAACATCCAACATTACTTTAAATTTACTATCTGATGTTCTGTTCTTCACTATCTTTACATGAAAGAAGTAACATCCAACATTACTTTAAATTTACTATCTGATGTTCTGTTCTTCACTATCTTTACATGAAAGAAGTAACATCCAACATTACTGTAAATTTACTATCTGATGTTCTGTTCTTCACTATCTTTACATGAAAGAAGTAACATCCAACATTACTGTAAATTTACTATCTGATGTTCTGTTCTTCACTATCTTTACATGAAAGAAGTAACATCCAACACTACTGTAAATTTACTATCTGATGTTCTGTTCTTCACTATCTTTACATGAAAGAAGTAACATCCAACACTACTGTAAATTTACTATCTGATGTTCTGTTCTTCACTATC